CCGACAAGTACAATGGAGAAGAATACAAGTACAGTATGCAAAAACAATTAGATTTTGATGATCCATTGTTGCCAACGGTTGCTTTGCTCAAGGAAAACAGCAGTGAAATCGGTGACAAAGAGTAGGGGTGATCGAAACGTTATTTCTTTCACAGCCGATCGCAACACTATGCGAAGTATAATCAAATGCGATCACACCATAGATTTTACACACCCGCAATCAATCTTTGGAATGCTGGGATTCCGACCTCGTGTATTGGCACCGAAAATGGAACACACGTCGGATTTCCCGTTATCTATTACAAAGGTGACATGCATACGAGTTGACTGCAATATAATTGTTGGCTCGTACCACGAAGGACGTCAATCGCATACATTGCATGAATTCTTTCCAAACGTACCACCGGGTTACCGTATTATCGAATGTCCCAGACAAGTCGTTTACTATCCATTAAACACAAACGTATTGAATACGATTCGAATCACATTGCTCGATCAAGACGGTCAACGTGTCAACTTANTGATCAAGACGGCCAACGTGTCAACTTAAGAGGTGAAAAATTAACAGTACGTCTACACATCAAACAAGATGGATGAAAGTACGATGACGTTATGGGACCGTATAAAACAAATTGATTCCTCACATATTGGATTATTTTTGTGCATACTAGTCACAGTCGTGCAACTATTACTGCTCCTTCAAACATCCGACAATAGCTGTCAGCTGATAAACAGTGACAATAACAACAACAACAACAACAATTCAGCTACAATTTATCGTTTGGAAGCACTGGATCGAGAACTTTATTCAGTCGATGACCGTGTCTTTATATTGGAAAAACGTGTCGACACTCTTTAAATGCCTCTGAGTTTCAATAAGAGTGTAGTGTACCATCATTTGGGTGATGGCATATACTCTACGATGGAGCAACGGAACAATCGTGTGACGCTATCGCAGCAGCAACAACTCACAAAGGAAAATATTGAATTTTTAAAATCATTAGGTTGTCGAGTCAATCATGGCCGAGTACTTACACGTGTTGGAAAAATGTCAACAAGACGACAGCGTAAAACGTGAATACTATCNTGACAGCGTAAAACATGAATACTATCTAGAACATCAGAGCTACAACCACTCGTACGAACACAACGATGAAATCCGCATCGAGGTACGTAACAAGGAGAAATTCACCGTACCGTGCGAAAGTTATTTGCAAATCGAAGGAAAACTGGAAAAACCACCAGTTGGAACAGTCGGTGAAATGGTTATGGGGCAAAATTTTCTCATGCACTTATTCGACGAAATCAGATTTGAGGTAAATGGTAAAGAAGTGGACAAGATAAAATATGTCGGAGTGGCTACAACCATCAAGGGTTATTGTTCGCTCACACCCAACGACATTCGACGATTGCAACCTGCCGGATGGAAATATGCGCAAATCTTGCACAACAACGATTTCATCGATGGGACTGATTTTGTGGCGCAATGTCCATTGTCTATGTGCATGGGATTTTTCGAACGATNTAATGTCCATTGTCTATGTGCATGGAATTTTTCGAACGATACCGATGAACACTGATAAACTGTACTCAGACACTCGTGTTGAATAGATCGAGTACCGATAGCACTGTTGTAACATTTGTTCCACAGACAACAACAACAGACGATAAAGCGCAAGTTGCATCATTGATAAAACAAATCAATGTGAAAATATCGAAAATCAAATGGGTGGTAAAGTACTTTGAACCCAGCGTGAAAACCGAACTGGGTCTTATGCGTATTCTGGACAGCAAGAAATGGCTCCCGTTAGAATTTCAACACTGGGATGTTGCCGTTTACCCATTGGTACCGCAGACAACTCATCACACGTGGTCGGTGCGCACCTATTCGAATGTGGAAAAACCCAGATATCTACTTATTGCCATGGGTAATGAGAACGAACACGTTCTTGGAGATTTCGATCACTGTTCATTGAGAAACGTCAAAGCGTATCTGAATGCGGACGAATACCCATACGAGAACCAAAACGCCGATTTCGACAACAACAAGTATACAACCTTCTACAACTCGTACACTCAATTCCAAACAATGTACTACGGTCGTAAAGATCCGTACCCTCTACTAGATTATATAAATTACAAAAAACGTGGACCCATAGTTGTGATCGATTGTTCTAAACAAAACGATACCGTCAAGACTTCAACGGTTGATCTACGTTTGGATTTCGAATGCTCTAAACAGTTTCCCGATAAAACATCATTGTATTGTGTAATTATTCACGATTGTCAAATGGAATACAACGCATTTACGGGTGAAGTACGAAAACTCTAATGTATATACAAATATATTTTTATTATTGTATAATTTACAGTATAGTATAGAAACAAAAAAATGTATAAATATATAATTTTTATTAATAAAAACATAGTTATTTTGCAAACTTGTTGTTTTTTATGTTATTTTATTTCGATTATCCTTGAATTTGATTGGAAAAGTCACACATAGAAGGTCTTTCTTGTCAATTTTCGGCAAAGCATCTATACCTAAAAATGATCTATTTGTAGCCAATTCTACCAGATCGGAAAAGTAATACAAGTGCTGAAATTTTTATAAGTATTAGAGTTAAGATGAAAAAATCAAATATTTTTTAACATACTTTCATGTGTGGATAATTGAAAATAGTTTTCGAGATATTTTCTAGACATTTAGCCATAAATCCCGTACAACTAATTTCATAGAAATATAACAAATCCGGCGTTTTAATTTGGGGAAAAATGATCGGTTTCTTTTCAACCACCATACGATCAGTTGAAGACTGAAGTATAACCTTTATTTCATGTAAAATACGCGGACGTATATGAAACAATTGTCGATGTATTTTCTCAAATAACATATCTTTAAAGAAGTACAATTGCGCAAACTCAGATGTATTCATCAAAAATATACAGTTGTCATCTCGTTTTGACTGAAACAGTAATGTATCTTTTCGGGTAATAGTTTGCACCCACTGTGTCAGAATCACCTTAATGTTTTCATCTTGCAAAAGTAGTATTCCGTTTAAATTTTCCGTTATCGATAAAATATATCCGCACATTGAATACATTCTATGTAGTAAATCGATAGTGATAATAAGTTCTTGATGACAGTTTACCAACTTTACTTTTGGCCAAAATGAATCGTCAGGATCCAGACCAATGTATACACGAGACATTTGTGAAATGCTATATATTGATGAATCGATCAAGTCGTTGATTTTATTGAATTTACACCTTGGTGTAGCCNAACGAGACATTTGTAAAATGCTATACATTGATGAATCGATCAAGTCGTTGATTTTATTGAATTTACACCTGGGTGTAGCCGTTGTGATTAAAGTCTCAAGGTCCAATAGGCGTTACTATCGCTGCGATTCGCATTCACCGTTTTTTCAATTGTTTCAATTGAATCCAAAAGTTCGTAATATATTCGCTTCACAACTGAGCATGCACATTCAGGATTGTCCGAATTTTTTCCCACATTCAATAATTCACAACCCTTGNCACATTCTTTAATTCACAACCCTTGTAGTGTAAAAAGTCTCCACCGGTACCGTTGACTTTATCTCCTAGACGTTCCGCAAAATATTGCAAATCTCGATAATTTTTCAATAATTTACTGAATGGTTTAAAAACTCTATCTGTCGGTTCGTTTTCAACAAGACAAATCAATTTATTCGATATATTACTTAAATAATCCATCTTACACGCACAATAGATTAACAAATACTGAGAACCGATTAGTAGTCAACAGACAATGTTGCTGCTGCACGACACCAAACTTTCCAAACATCTGTTAGACATTGGAATCTCGATGACGAATGAGGTGTATTTTATGGATTACACGACTANATGAGGTGTATTTTATGGATAACACGACTATGGCTTATACCCCATCGACGACGACGACAACGGCGGCGGGGGCGGTTGCGATGACACAATATAACGGGCGACCGTTTGACGTACAACTCCGTGATGGGAGGGTGTAGGCAGGGGCAGAGTCTTTAACATTATTGTATGTGACGTGATGACCTTAAGGGCGATTATATTACGTAACACCTGTGATGCTCCTGATTGAGGGGCACACGTTGCTGCATACGTCACACCGACAACGACGTAACGCCGAGTCAGCTGACCACCTACCCTCCGCCAATCCACATTATTATCGCAATTTTAACAATAACACACTTGATTTACAACTTTAACAATTACGATTGACCTTAATTAACCATTTAATTACCCATTAACACTCTTAATTTATTACTTTTTGATGACGTATGACACTAATTACCATGGCGGCATCCTTTGATCCCCAGAACCCGCTATNACCATGGCGGCATCCTTTGATCACCAGAACCCGCTATATAGATACTACTAATATCAAGAAGAGAAAATCGCACAATTATATATGCCATTAGAGCAATACGCTAGAAAATGGTTGGACATGCCTAAGACACCCAAAAGAGTTGTGTCATAACTTAAAAATTACAAAAGAAAAAGATTGAAATAGTTTATATTGCTGAGTGAATTAAAGTGAGAATTAGAGTGTGAGTTACTTTTGATTCGGGTTGTGATTAAAGGGTTATAAAATGACAATGTTAATATTCTTATAGATTTAAAAATCATAACCTGATAATTATTCTTCAATTGTTATATTAACTACAGTGATAATATTAATAAAATGATAAATAAAGTAACAGAAATTCAAGTTTTTGGTTCACATTTAGCACGTAAGAACTTCGACAATAATGATCGCAATATCAGTATGAGAACTATTCTAGCTTGACTCTGCTATTAGCTCACTCTCCAATGTTTTTCTAACTAGTAGGTAATTAGTAGGCCCTGTGGTTTGACTGAAACCGTCCAATTAAAATAGTTAAAAATATGATTAGTTTTTTTAAGAATTTTTTATTCATTCATACTACATTTATATTATTATGAATTGTACAAATATTATTAATTAAACACAGCTTATTATTAATTAAATTGCTGGTTGTAAAATATTTTAAGAATATTCATTCCCAAATTATTTAACTTAAAATAACGGAGTAATTTTGTATATGTGACTGAATTTTAAAATAGAATAAGTTAAATTGCAAATATCTAGAACTATTCCAAAAACACTTAAACAAATATTTTAATTTTAAAAACAACTTTGCAAATAGTAGATAAAATAAACTAATCTTTAATCAATATACTTCTTTAAATGTATAAAATATGTATATATTCTAACTAATATTAATCTTACAAATAAGTTATTCTAAATTTTGTTTTCTATATTTTCAATTGACTAAAAAATGTTCATAAAAATATACTGTTTTACTTTTTTCATATTTTGGATAAATCAAATCGATACAACTAGCTATAGACTCGCGGATGAAAACGATTATATTGAATATTTAACTGAAGTAATCAATTATGTTCGATATCAATACGAAAATTCTTCAATGCAACACTTAACAGACGGTTTAATGGTTTCAGATTCCATTCCATACTTTATTGGAACCTTAAGTCTACCTGTAAATTTCAATAATTTGCCTAGAATATTTAATGCTATTAATGAATTACTATTCTGTAGATATACAATTGTTATAGAAATTTTCATTAAAAATATTGGTTTAATACTGCAATATTGTGATAGCTATCATTTAAAAAACCAATTTTATGATTTTACTGATTGCTTAATTACACTTAATAACGCATTAGAAAGTTCAAAGACTCTATTTGAAAATATAAATAATGTCATACAATTCTTTAGTAATTTACATATGAACTACGTATTAAAACTGTATGAAAAAAAAAAAAACATTATTGATGAAATTTCTTTTATTAATGATCACATTCAATCGAAAAGAAAATTGGACATACTTGAGTATATCGATAACAACGCTAATCCTAAAGTTGAGATGGTTATTGAGGATTTTGAAAATGTTAAAAATTTTTTTAACAGTATATCTTCGAAAATTTCATTTACTTCTATTACAAACATTAAGTACAATAGTTTTCAATATGAATTACAAAATGATGATGCAATGGAACACGATAACTATTCAATTTCCTGTTCAGATTATGTCAAAGTATGTAATAATCTCAAAGTATTTTATGATGAAGCATTCAAGCTCGAGTACATCAATTTTGGTTTTCATGACTTACTACATCCGACAATACCAGGGTAAAGTATATTATTATTTTTGTTGAGTGTTATTTAGTAAATTCTTCCATGTTATTCAAACTATACTTCTTTAATCACTATATGTTTAAAGAAGAAACGTGTACATTACTCATATTTTACAACGATGATACGGAATTGTGTTTCAATCAGCCTAATATCCCATTATCAACCTACATTTAGGTTGATCAGTTTATTATAAAACACTCGATTACTTTAAAAATAAATATAATATTGTACAAAAATTATGTTCCTTTTTTTGTTACTTAAATATGTTGATTTATTAACTATGAATTATTTTTTAGAAACATTCATATTGTATTGTAGTGTCAACTATTTTTTGAAATGATAACACACATTTTGAACTAGCTTATAAAATAGAAACTAAGAAAATGATTGGCCGATAACAACTTTTTGATCAGTAAATTAGGTGTTATTCTTATTTTTATATCTAGACGAAAAGAAAATTATCATCGGGAAATGACTAATAATAAAAATAAATGCACCGACTCCTTTTAGTGATTACTTAAAAATATTAATAGCTTTCCAAAAACAAGTTCAACATTTGTTATCCACGAGTCATTTTCTTAATTAAATTATGTTCTATTTCATAAGCTAGTTAAATATGTATATTACCACTTCAAAAAAAAAAAAATTGAAACTCATTAAATTATGAAGTCGTTTTCTTTTTCCTCCTCGCCTTATTCCCACCTATTTGGGGTCGGCCACCCATATCCTAAACTTCCATTTGACACGATCTATCACATCCTCTAAAGCGTTCCATATAATTTGACATCTTGAGAACATGCACTTTCTAGATTCGCTATAATTTACAATTTGAATGAACCAAAACTATTAATTATTTGGGAATGATCTATTATACGGAGTCATGTTCAACCAAAGATATATACTAACTCTAAAATGCCGTTTATAAATTATAATCTTCAATTTTAACCGCTATTTTTATATCATTAAAAGTTCGTTTGGTAACGTTTATTTACCAATTTTGCTATATTATACATGGCATCAACTTCACAGATAACTCAAACATGACTACAACATGGCCGAATTTTAGAACTTCATGACACGCTATTATTGCTACTTTTTATATATATATTTATAGAAATATTAGTACAATTGTCAAATTACCTTTTGGAAATATCCATAGATTTTATTCCAATTAATCATTAACTCTTTATTTTGTATTTTTGTATTCATAGACTTGTATCACCATTATGTGATGACTCATCTGAAGATCTCGCAGTCAGTGTAATAAATTCACTATTTAACGTGTATAATAGGCAATCGTTAATTAATACCAAAATTTTGGTGAACGATCAAATTAAAGATTTAAATGAAATACAGCATGATGAAGAAAATCTA